TTTATTTTTTTATTTAGTGACGGATTTTGTGATGGATTAAATTTTGTCTCTAAAAAATCTATCACAAAATCCGTCACTATTTTTATTTTTTTATTCAGGAATGGATTTTGTGACGGATTCAATATGGTCTCTAAAACTTTTGTCACAAAATTCGTCACCAATTTTATTTTTTTATTCAATGACAAAAATTGTGACAGATTTTTTAGAGACAAAATTTAATCTGTCACAAAATCCGTCACTAATTTTATTTTTTTATTCAGTGATGAAAATTGTGACGAGTCTTTTAGAGACAAAATTTAATCCTTCACAAGCTTCAGTAAATGGTAGTCCGTCACAAAAATTAAAATTCCCTCAAAATTCGTCACTATTAGTATGAATCTGATAAACTACTTGATATGTATGAATCTACATGCGTGTTATATTATATCTAAAACAAATTGATAGATTATATTTGTCATCATCAAAAAAGGGAGATTGTTAAGTTAGACGAAGCAATTCCCAACGAGGTTTTGAACATGACAAATATAATACATATTGTTATGACTAACCTATGTTTTAGTGTTTCAGATAAATATAAGAAATAGGCAAAACTAAAGGCATGAAGCAAGGATCAAAAAAACCAAGCCAAATGATAAATGGAACATGAGATGTGTGCCAGACGATAACGAATATTAGACAAAGATATGTCAATGACAACCCAGAGTGCAATATAAGAAATCAGACGCAAGGCAAAAATAAATATCAAACAAGACAAAATTTGACTTAGCAAAAAAAAAAAACATCTGATGAAGCTCGATGGTTAACTACACAATGGTCAACAAAACAAGTATCAGTCGATTATGGATAACCCAAGATGAAGAGATATTCTATATGAAATTAAAGTCATCCATCTTCACAACTGATCAGACGAAATGAAAAAGTTAAAGTCTAACTCTTAGACGGAGACCCAAATTCCAGACGCAAACGAAGAATGTTGAAAGGCGTCTAAAGTCCACTAGTCACAACGAGGAAGATCATATATCGTCTCCATTTATAAGAAAAGCACACGAAGTTATAAAAATATGAAAAGAAAGAAGGAGAATAAAAGAGGGCGAATTCACAAGTCAAAGCTGCGAGTGTCAAAAGTAAGTACACCTACTTTTTAGAAAAAGACAACACCTCGCAGCTACACTGACATAAATAGAAAAAAAAATACCTAGGTCATGATTGAAGTCAGACATAAAAGCGAATAAGCTACTAAAGAAGACTTAACGTAACAAATATTTAGCAAGCAAACATTTAATGCAAGATCAAACGCATTAAATGAAAATGATCTGTGTAGCCACGAACGAACGGCTATCTGCACCAACGGGAAACTCTGCCTCAACGGACACATTCAAATTCAAACAATGGGAAAATTTATCGCAAGGCTATAAATATCAAGACCTGAGAAGAAAAGAAAGGAGAAGAGAAGCAATAAGCAATAAGAAAAAAGAAAGCATCAAAACAAACTTACATCTCTTTTTGTTCAGATTTGAATATCTGTGTAAAACTAAGATAGTTTATCTTAGTGAATGTAGAAAATACCTCATCCTCTTTGCGAGAGTTACATACACACTCTAAACACATATTCTTGTAAAACTAAGGTTGAATACCTTAGCGAGTGTAGAAACCATACTATCCTCTCTGTGAGAGTCGCATACACACTCAAAAACATCTATTTGTTTGTAAAGCCTGAAGAGGCTAGTGAAATAATTCTTGGAGAACCAGAAGTGGTTTAAGAATACTAGCGTCAACGAGTGAAGTAGACGAACCAGAAGTGGTTGAGAATACTTGGAGAACCAGAAGTGGTTAAGAATACTTGTAATTCGTTGTGATTAGTGGAACCCTTCAATTGAAGGAGACTGGACATAGCTCAGGACGAGCAAACCAGTATAAAACTCTGTGCATTGTTTACTTGTCTTACAAATGCAATTTTATATTCAGACGAAATTACATTTGCTTAACTTAAGAAACTATTTTCGAGTAGACGATAGATCTTTAGACGCCAAGTTTATTTTAAACAATCTTGCACAATCTCCAAGTGCTTGAAATATTACTTTTAGACGTAAAGAAGTCCCTTTGAAAAAACGATGTTAAAATCCTTCGTTCACACACATTCAACCCCCCCCCTTCTGTGTGTTTTCCGATAACTTCATCGCTGCAGGGTGTGGAGTTTTGTTCTAGTGTTAGAGTTACCATCTTGGGTAACTGTTTGATTGTGCTTGACCAACACTAGGGCAGTATTATTTTGGATGATTGTATATACATAGTACTATATTTTGTATATAAATATTTAATTTTTTTTATCACTTCCTTTATATGTATATTCCGTTAGTATAGTTAGCATGATTCCTCTAAGTGTAGGGACCATCACGGTCCTTACAATTCCTAGAGATGGGAATAAGTCAGGGCAATACAAGCTTTCAATATACAGGTTAGGCTTGTTTTGCCAAATTAAAGTCTAAGTCTAACTTATTATCTATCATAGGTTTTTTTTATGTCTTTCCTGACTTTTTTGAAAACCTGATTTGACCTATTTGACCTATTTAAATTTTAATGTTAATTAGGTCAATAAACTTAATTTTTAAAAATAAATAAATATTTTTAAAATATAGTTTACTCAATATTATTAAAATTTAAATTTTAAAAAAATATAGGAGAAAATTGAATCTTGAAAGAACCATTCATGTGTAATCATATATGTTGATGTATACTTATGCACAAATCGTAAGTTTATAAACCTATAATGAAAAAAAAAATTTATAAAAAAATATTTTAAATATTGATAATTTATTTTTGTTTTATAAATTTATTTCTTTATTTATATTTTTAATAATATATGTATATCTTATTATTTTATAATATCATATATAAATAAATTGGCTGATCTATCAAGCTTAATATGTTTTTCTATAAGCCTAAGCCTATTTTTAATTTTTTTTTATATAAATAGGTTTTTTTTTTAAATTCTAAGTTTGACCTTTTTATTAAATAGGGTTGGTTAGACCAGGCTTTAAAGAGGTCAAGCCAGAGGCCCCTATTTAAGGTTTGACATATTACCATCCCTAATGATTCATAATACAATTTTTGACTATTGACTTTACATTTATTATATATTTATATAATTTATTTCTAAAAGAAAATAAGTCAACTTGATATGTCCCAATAAATATTCTTTTTAGGAGCGAAACCTATTTACTTGCATTATTTTCCCACTATAAATTGATGATTACTTTTTTTTTTTTGAAATATCAAAACATAAATCTAACCTTGTTACAAAATTCTTCGAGATAGATCGTAAAAATTATAGAAAAACTATGATAAAGATTGAAATGAAAACAATCGGAGTTATGATTGTGATCATGGTTATGTTGGGCTTCGTGCAAGCTAATCACAATCCTCCATTAGCTCAAATTCATCCAAACAATGTTAAGGGGATGTATGTGCTTATGTTTGTACCTTAAAATGCTTGTTATCAAAATTTTATGATAGAAAAAAGTATGACCAATGTGTTGATAATTGTACTGCAAAATGTCGGAGAAAGGATGTTGATTACAATTGTATTACAAGTTGCAACTTAACTAAGTCCATTGATAACAACATCGGTATTGACTCTATTGACTCTTTTCTTGGTTTTATAATTATTCTTTATAGTATCTAAAGTTTATTATCTTCTTACATGATTTTTATTATTGACTTTACATGCTAGATGCTCGTGGTCTTCCAACTTATATGATGGACTCTTGCTTACAAAAGTGTCAAAACAAGTAATTATATATCACAAGAATGTTCAAATAAAAGGTTGATAGGAGAAATGAAATTCATCAATCAACATAATTGTAATAAATAATTCTTAATGTTCTTTTCATATATCCAATTATTTCCCTTTCATTTGTTTGAAGTTTCTTTCATATGGGAATACAATTATTACCAACTTTTTTCTTTTTATTTCTAATAATTTTTTCTTATAATCATGCATTTTATGTTACATAGATAAGTATCTGCATTGATTTTAACAAGCACATTATGTGGCTGAATTGGCACAAGCGAAAGATTATAATTGTGACACCATCTACCTTGTACACCAATACTCATAAATAAAAAATAAATCTTTAATGGATTTGAAGGATTCTTAACATAAAAAGAAAATTATTCCAAAGACTTTGACAGTTCGACCTTTGATCACAACTTGAGTTATGGACATCTTGTTAGAAATTTTATTTCTAATACTTATTGTGGGCTACATATATTATTTGTAGTAATTATATTAGTTATTTACATTTAGTTGGGCTCTATAAAAGTGATCTAATTTTAGTGAGCCTTTAGACTGCCAACATGAAAAATTGATATGAACTCAAATAAGTGGAAACCAGATTTGGCCCATTAGGGGTTAATGGGAATCCTAATAGGTTTAAAATCGTAAAGATGGTCATGGTCCCTGTACTATCCGTACTGCGTAACCGAGCTCCGAGCTCGGCACCACAACGCAAGCCGACCTCGGACGCGCACCGCGTGACATCAGCTCGGCATTTAAGTGAATCATAACTGATTCCCGAGGATCTCGCCCCGGACGAGGTTCGTTATCTAATCATATTACATATCATCTCAGGCCCAAGGCCCAAAGCAACCCTAAATCACACGAAGGTACGTGCATTACATATACGAGATTCATGCTCATACAAACCCTAACTTTGGCATCGAAGTCTTTTTTGCAGGTACCACCCCCATCTTGGAGCACCCAGCGTACCAGTAAAGGAGGCTCACCAATCTTACTCGGAAGATCGTCCCTACAACAAATTCTGGTAAGAACAGTTCTAGGGTGTCACAATTCCTCTAAGTGTAGGGACCATGACGAGTCCTTACAACTCCTAGAGATGGGAATAAGTCAGGGCAAGACAAGCTTTCAATATATAGGTTAGGCTTGTTTTGCCAAATTAAAGTCTAAGTCTAACCTATTATCTATTATAGGTTTTTTTTATTTATAAGTCTTTCCTGACTTTTTTGAAAGCATGATTTGACCTATTGACCTATTTAAAATTTTAATGTTAATTAGGTCAATAAAATTAATTTTTAAAAATAAAAAATCACATCCAAATTGGATAAAGGTAAACAAAACAAATTTACCTTATAACAACGACCTTCTACTTCTACTGGACATCCTAAACAAACCTCAGAAGTCAAAATAGACCCTGAAGCTGGGGTAGAAACTACTAGATCCACACACAAGAAACTCACTACAAATTTTAGTCTTCTCACACATTCGTAAGAAATAAAAGAATGTGAAGTACCAGAGTCAAATAGAATAGAAATATTATTACTATCAACTTTGCCTTTTCCCTTCATCAGCTTAGATGACGTTTCAGTTTCAGCACCTGTTAAGGCAAAAACACGACCTGCTGTAGTAGGTCGATCCACTTTCTGGTTCCCTCTAGCTGGAGTATTTCTGTCATTGCAATCTTTAGCCATGTGACCCACCTTGCCACATTTAAAACACGCATAGTTCTTTGTAGGACAGTCCCTCATCATATGTGGGCCTCCACATGTGTAACATCTAATACCCTGAACAGCTCCTACGGTAATAGTCCCCATTGGTTTCTTATTAGCATTCCCTGTCTGAAACTGAGATGGTCTCTTTTGAAGATGTTTCCCCCTCCCAAATCCAGATGATCCCTCTGGACCCTTTGCCATTTTATTCCTTCCCTCAAATCTTTCAATCGTCTTTGCCTTTTCAACCAACACTGGGAATTCCACAATTCCCATAGGAACAATAGTCTTCTTCAGCTCAAATCTTAGACCTTCACTAAACTTCCTGCGTCTCCAAGCTTCAGTGATAGCTTGAGAATAGTACCTAGCCAAGTGTTCAAACTTGACCACGTACTCTTGTATTGACATGCCTCCTTGCTGCAGTCTCAAAAATCCAGCTTCCTTAGCATATCTGGTGCTATCTGGAAAATATTTCTCTAGAAACACCTTTTTGAAGTTCTCCCAATTTATTGCCTCCCTTCTAGCTTCCATCATAGCCTGAGCTCCTTTCCACCAGAAACTAGCCTCACCCACCAACATATAAACAACATAGACTAGTTTCTTTTCCTCGGGGCAATGCATCACCATGAAGATTTTCTCCATTTCCTCAATCCATTGGTCAGCAACTTCAGGTCCATCAACACCTGTGAATTGAGGAGGATTCCCTTTTTTGAACTCTGACAAGCCCCTATACTCATCAGGTACCTCAGCCCTAGCTGCTTCAGCTACAACCCTGTTGGTCTCCATCTGAGCCAACAAAGTATTCTGTTGTCCAATAGTAGCAACAATTAGCTCCATAGCTTGAGTAATCTAATGCTCCTCCATGCCTGAAAAAGGATTTGAATTGTTTCCCCTACCAACCATCCCAATCAAAAGGTCAAGGAATCTATGAGTTTACATTAAAACTCATAAGTAATTCCTAATCAATTTCCTCACAACAGAAACATGACAAGACCATTTCCCACAAACCGTAAGAGACTCGACCAGCTCTGATACCAAAATTGTAACGACCCGCCCTAGGTCGTCACATCAATCATCAACCATAATAAAATAATATATAATAAAGAAAACAGAGCAAAAGTTAGCTACGCTAGAGTGTAATTATAAAATAACATATATTTATTTTCCAAATCATACTATTATAAAAGAGTCATTAATCATAAAGTTATACAGTCATCCGATATATATATAACATTAACTATCGAAAGAGACACCTGAGGTGCTGGTCAAGCTCTAAGCCTAGCCACTTCTCAAAGCAGCTACCCAAAAGACTCCTTGCTATCCCAAGGCCTTACACTTGATCTGCTCTCCCACATCGTGAGATCATCACAGTTCCACCACATGGAAACATGCAAGGGTTAGTACGTATAAAACCAACCATAGTACAACATAATGAAATATCATTAAAACAGATATTAATCCACATTATTTATCCATAATTAAATTAAATTTTTTTTATCTATGTTCTATTACAGTTGCTTTTGCTAGTGCTATTAACTTATCTGCTCAGATTAATTGTATACCCATGCTTAATGGGACAAACTTTAAGGCCTGAAAGGAATCAGTTGAGATAATTCTTGGCTGCATGGATCTTGTTCTTGCACTTCAGGTTGAGAAACCCACTCCAAATCCGGAAAACCCGGATGAGGATAAGGTTGAAAAGTGGGAATGCTCAAACCGAATGTGTTTCATAATCATAAAGCAATTTGTTCTAGAAGTTTTTCGAGGCTCTATTTCTAAGAGCCAATATGCTAAAGGTTTCCTTGATGTTGTTGAGCAGTATTTCACCAGTAATGAGAAAGTTGATGCAAGCAGTTTTCTTGCTAAACTTATCTCTATGAGATACAAAGGTAAAGGAAACATAAGGGAGTACATCATAGAAATGTCTAATCTCGCGTCAAAACTAAAAGCACTAAAGTTAGAGTTGTCTGATGACTTGCTCGTGCATCTAGTTTTGATTTCCCTTCCTACACACTTTGGACAATTCAAGGTGAGTTATAATACTCAGAAAGATAAATGGACCTTGAATGAATTGATTTCTCACTGTGTGCAAGAGGAGGAAAGGAAGCAAAGAGAAAAGACTAAAAGTGCTCATTTAGCGTCAAGCTCTCATAATAAGAAGAGAAAGAATAATAAGGATTTTGTAGAAAGGACATCTCAGCAAAAGAAAGTCAAAAAGGATGAGAACTCACCTATTTGCTTCTTCTGCAAGAAGCCTGGGCACATGAAGAAAGAGTGTCGCAAGTATGCCTCTTGGCGTGTAAAGAAAGGTAATTTTCTCTCTTTTGTTTGCTCTAAAGTTAATTTAGCTTTTGTACCACATGATACTCCGTGGGTAGATTCTGGTGCTACTACTCACATTAGTGTATCCATGCAGGGTTGCCTTTGGAGCCGACTGCCAAGTGATAATGAAACATTTATCTATGTGGGTGATGGCAACAAGGTTACAGTGGAGGCTATTGGAACATTTAGATTACAGTTAAAAACTGGATTTCATTTGGATATATTTGAGACTTTTGTTGTACCGTCTTTTCGGAGGAATTTAGTTTCTATTTCTAGTTTGGACAAATTTGGTTTTTCTTGTTCATTTGGAAATAATAAATTTATCCTCTATCAAAATTCAAATGTTGTTGGTTCTGGTTCTCTAATTGATAATGTATACTTACTAGATGTAGTTAGTTCCAATAAAGAAAATTTTCACATTGATTCTCGTGGTACGAAGCGTAAAATAAGTGAGAACTTAGCCACCTTATGCCATAAGCGTTTAGGCCATATCTCTAAATAGAGAATTCAGAGGCTTGTGTCGGATGAGATTCTTGAACCCTTTGACCTTTCATACTTTGAGGTTTGCATGGAATGTATTAAGGGTAAACAAACAAATTCTAGAAAATTAGGTGCCGAAAGGGCTAAGGACATTTTGATATTAATTCACACAGATATTTGTGGACCATTCCCTACGACATCTTGGAATGGTCAACAATATTTCATTATATTCATAGATGATTATTCAAGGTACGACCACCTATTTTTAATTCATGAGAAGTCTCAATCCCTAGATGTTTTCAAATCTTTTAAAGCTGAAGTTGAGCTTCAACTTGGAAAGAAAATTAAGCCAGTCAAATCTGATCATGGTGGTGAATATTAAGGTAGATATGATGGATCAGGTGAACAACGTCCAGGGCCTTTTGCACTTTTCCTAAGGGAATGTGGCATCGTTCCTCAGTATACTATGCCTGGGAAACCAAGCATGAATAATTTTGCATAACGTAGAAATAGGAATCTTCAGGATATGGTGAGAAGTATGATTAGTCATTCTTCTTTACCAGAGTCATTATGGGGAGAAGCGCTTAAGACTGCAGTTTACATCCTAAATAGGGTACCAACTAAAGCAGTTAACAAAACTCCTTATGAGCTATGGATGGGTAAAAAGCCAAGTCTAAAGCATTTACACATTTGGGGTTGTCCGGTTGAAGCGCGTCCTTATAAGCCGCATGAAAGCAAGCTAGAGTCAAGGACTGTTAACTGTTATTTTGTTGGTTATCCTAAACGCTCTTGGGGCTATAAGTTTTACGATCCCACTACTAAATCATTCTTTGAGACGGGGAATGCGAGATTCCTTGAGGATGTTGAGTTTGGGAAGGAAAGAAAACATAAGAAATGTTGTCTTTGAGGAAGAACCTGTTATTGACAGTGATCAAGTCCTCGTGCCTATTACTATTCCAGTACCTACCCCAGTAATAGGTGACAATCATGGAGTTATTCCTGACATTGTCCCAACACAAGACAATATTGAGGTTCTCCCTCAAATTCCTATGGAGCAAGCTCAACAACCTCAAGAAGTGCCATTAAGGAGATCCACTAGAGAAAGGAAAAGTGCAATTCTAGATGATTATATTGTGTTTCTCCAAGAACATGAGGATGGCATTGGTTTAACACAGCATGATCCAATCAACTTCTATCAAGCTATGCACATTTCTAACTCTCAAAAGTGGATTGATGCCATGAAGGATGAGATGAAATCGATCTATCCAAGAAAACGATGTTTGGAATCTCGTTGAATTACGTGAAGGTGTGAAACCTATCGGTCGTAAATGGATATTTAAAACCAAGAGGGATTTAAAAGGTAATATCGAGAGATATAAGGCTCATTTAGTTGCTAAAGATTTCACTCAAAAAGAAGGCATTGATTACAAATGACTATTGACTTTACATGGCAGATGTTCGTGGTCTTCCAACTTATGTGATGGACTCTTGTTTACAAAAGTGTCAAAACAAGTAATTATATATTACAAGAATGTTCAAATAAAAGGTTGATAGGAGAAATGAAATTCATCAATCAACATAATTGTAATAAATAATTCTTAATGTTCTTTTCATATATCCAATTATTTTCCTTTCATTTGTTTGAAGTTTCTTTCACATGGGAATTCAATAATTACCAACTTTTTGCTTTTTATTTCTACTAATTTTTTCTTATATTCATGCATTTTATGTTACATAGATAAGTATCTGCATTGATTTTAACAAGAACATTATGTGGCTGAATTGGCACAAATGAAAGATTATAATTGTGATACCATTTACCTTGTACACCAATACTCATAAATAAAAAATAAATCTTTAATGGATTTGAAGGATTCTTAACATAAAAAGAAAATTATTCCAAAGACTTTGACAGTTCGACCTTTGATCACAACTTGAGTTATGAACGTCTTGTTAGAAATTTTATTTCTAATAATTATTGTGGGCTACATATATTATTTGTAGTATTTATATTAGTTATTTACATTTAGTTGGACTCTATAAAAGTGATCTAATTTTAGTGAGCCTTTAGACTGCCAAAAGGAAAAATTGATATAGGCCCAAATAAGTGGAAACCAGATTTGGCCCAATATTAGGGGTTAATGGGAACCCTAATAGGCTTAAAATCATAAAGATGGTCATGGTCCCCAATATGCCAAATCAGAAACACACGTCTCTTTGTCTCCCCATCAGAAGAGTAACATCAAGTCCCATCAAGGAATCCAGTGACTTGGCTAAGGAAGATCATTGCACCAAAAGACTATTCCGCTGCAACCTTTTGATCAACGTTAATGGATACAGGTACGTGTTATTAACATTAACTCTGTAATCTGAGACAACAGTTCTTAATATTGATTAATGGATAATTTCTATTTGGCTTAAAGAAATTTATCCCAACAAGTGGTATCATAGCCGCCGTTGTCATTAGGTTATGGGGTTCTAAAGCATATTATTACAATTCTTTTTCTTTCTTCATTGACAATACGTGTATTTGAATGCATTGGTCTTTTTTTTGCTTCAATTTGGTTTAATTGATTGTATGGATAAGGAGATCGATTAAAAATTGATTTTTTATTAATGGGAATTTTTTTTTGTATTGTGAAATTGTATAATTTTCTGTGAATGTTATAAATTTGTATATGTAACAATTTTGCAATGATCCGGAAGACATTGTCAAATGAAGAAATTTTTGAGTTTTTTAATTTTCTCATCGGAAGTGAGATAATTGTGTAACAATGCAATAACGGAATATTTTCTCACCAGAAGTGAGTTAATTGTGCAACAATGCAATAAAGAAATATTTTCTCACCAGAAGTGAGTTAATTGTGCAGCAATGAAATAAAAGAATATTTTTCTCACTGGAAGTGGGAAAATAATATGAAAAGTGAAAAGGAAAAAGATTGATAAAGACACAAATACAATATAAATATTATGTTTGATCCTTTGTGTACCACCAGAAGTGGATTTTTTTTTTGTCAAAATCATTATTTTAATAT